TAATATTTATTTTGTTAGTTAAATTATATATGGAATATTAATTTCGTTTTTAATATAATTTGGAAACAATGACATTTTCTAAAAATAATTCTAAAAATAATAAACTAAAATAATGATGTGTCATTATACGATTGGAGGACTTAAATCTTACGTGGACGCTCTCAATGGCTTATAGCCTCAACTTTTATATAGTATAGATAGGGGGATCTTGGAAAGGAATTAGTAAAACGGTAAAAGTAGTAATTTTGACCAAAAAAGTAAATAGTTATTTTCGACCAAAAAAGGTAACTAGTAATTTTCACCCACCGTCTGTGTTCTTCATATGTATATATAGCCTACAGTCGGTTATTCCAGATAAAATCCATAGGATATATGCTATAGCCTTAGGCATGGGGACTCAATCAAACAAAGAGCTTTTCTTGAATGGATTTGTAAAGCTTTTGAAAGAACAGCCAACCGATGTACTCCTAAAGGCATGTGACGGTGATAAGAAGGCAGTTATTCATGCCCATAAGCTTATTCTGGTTGTTACTTCTTCTTCTTCTATACTCGTTTTTCTTTTACATAAAGTGATTTCATTACTAATGTTATTTCCTTGACACATATATGTGGAACTTGTATAGTCTGCAAGATCAGAGGTGTTTAAGAAGATTTTAGAATCAGACAATTTGAAGGCTTCGTCTAGGCTGGAAACAATCACTCTCTCAGAGCTGAAACACGAAGAATTAGAGGCTCTCGTTGAGTTTATTTATAGCGATGGCTCTATGCTTTCAAAGAAAGCGAAGCAATACGTTAGGTCACTTTATCGTGCAGCCGACAAATATGAGATTCCGCATCTACGTGACCTATGCCGAAACGAGCTTATTTCATCTCTTGGCTCTTCCAATGCTCTTCAACTTCTTGTGTTCGCCCAAATCCCGTTCGACAAAGCCCTCAGTGATGCTGTCTTCAACGTTATCAAAGAAAATACTTTCTAACTCTAAGGAGTTCGAGTGTTTTGTCGTCGATCACCCAAATCTTACCGTGGAGATAATGAAGGCTATTTCGCCACCTAATGGCTATTTATTTCCTTGTCGTCGCTATTGACAGTAATATGTGACTATTTATTACTTTTGTTGCTATGTTTTTTTTTTAAGTTGTTTTTGTTTTTGATTGGTTTTCTTTTAAAATAAATTATATTCCCCATTGGTGGAAACATAAAAAACAATGCATAGTTTTCTGTATAGTCTGCAAGATAATAGATGTTTAAGAGAAGATGTTTGATCTAGATAAATGCAACACTTCGTCCAGGCTGCTGGAGACAATTACTCTCTTGAACCTGAAACAAGAGGAGTTAGAGGTTTTGTTGAGTTCATCTGTAGCAATATGGCTCAATGGTCTGAGAGAAAGGGAAGCAACATGTTAGATTACTCTATTGTGCAACCAGAAAATATGAACTCACTTAGAGGTTGATTGATAGAGCATTAGCATAAGCATTATGCTCTCTATTATTCAATCAACATTTGACAAAAAAACATTTAGAAAAGCATTTATCAAATGTAAATGCTCTCCAAATGCTTTTTGCTCAATGCTCTCATATAGAACTTTTAGGAGAGCATTTGCATATAGAAAATATAAAACTTAATAGTATTCATATATAATTAATTTATTTTTGTTTGATAATATAAACAATATTTTTATAATTAAATATAAATTTTTATTTTAAAATATAAGAATAAAAATTATAATTTTTTTTAAAAGAACAATATTTCATATTTGAAATATAATATAATTTATAAAATTACATATATCATTCATTATTTTTAATAACAAACATAACATAATATAATTTATATATTATCGATATAAACATATTATTTATACACTAATAAATAAATTATATATTAACTTTTATGATAATTTTATATATGAGCCCTTTAGTGCTCTACCAATAAATAAATAATAATAATTTATATAGAATTTATAATTAATTTATATATAAATTAATTATTATTTATATATAAATTATAATTAATTAATTTATTTATTTAATAATATTAATATATGTTAACATCCAAAAATAATTTAATATTTTTAAATAAATTTTCCATTTTTAAATATAATTTATATAATGAACAAAATTCATTATTTTCAATAAAATATATATTTTTAAAATATAATTTATATAATGAATAAAATTCATTATTTTTTATAAATTTTACATTTAAAATATAATTTATATAATGAATAAAATTCATTATTTTAATAAAAATATATATTATTAATATATTATATATATTATAAATATTATAAATATATATATATATATATTATTTTAAAAGAAATATATTATTTTATAAACTATTATGAAAATTTTAAAATTGTATAGTGCTAACGCTCTGCCAATCACTTTATTAAAAATTTTAATGAAAGAATACAGCTTCTGCAGCATACTGCTTCTGCAGCTTATCATCTGCTGTACCAATCGAGGCCTTAATCGCTGAAGAACACAAAATGAAAATGTCTATTTTCTAGATCTTTATGTTAAATATTTTTCTCTAAAATATAAAGATGGTGTGGGCATTAAATGTGTCAATTAACACACATATTGAGCTTTTTAGCTGGGAGAGCTTTGGTGAGTCCTAATGAAAATGTCTATTTTCTAGAACTTTATGTTAAATATTTTTCTCTAAAATATAAAGATGGTGTGGGCATTAAATGTGCCAATTAACACACATATTGAGCTTTTTAGCTGGGAGAGCTTTGGTGAGTCCTGTAAGGTGAAGCAAAACACTAAGGGTTTAGAAGCGTACGTGGTTCAAAAACTTTGTAGAAGTCTTTGAACATGAGTGACTAGTTCAGCAAGACAAGGTATATCTTGAGCTTGGTGAAGAACTGCTTTTAAGTGAAACTTAAATGTGCATGCATTTAAAAACATTAATCTAGCCGTATTACTTGAAAATAATTTACTTTTTGTTATTAAGAGTTCTTGTAGCAGATAATTTTCATATTTACAGATGGTATCATAACGGATACTTGCGTCTTCTACACATATAAGGATCATGCGGAACAAATGGAAAGCTATCAAGATTTGGTATCAAATTCAAAAGTGATTTTGGATGCTGGGAACTAGGGATGCGAATATGGGCGACCTATACCCGTTTAGACACTGTCCATTTAGGGCATGCTGTTTAAACCTTTAAACATTTATGCCCGTTGACATATATACCCGTTAAAGCCCATTAATTTTCAAACTCATTTTGTTTAGAAACACCTGTTTAGGCCCGTGCCTATTTATGTTTTTTTTTTCAGAAAAAATACAGAACAAAAATGTAAGAAACACATAAACCTTGAAATTTAAATACAAAACTTAATTAGAAAGCTGCAAAATCGAAAGGTGAGTTCTTTGACCTGCAAAATCATACGTTAATTCAAAATCTGATTTTTGCAAACCAGCATCATAAAAGTAATTGCAAGAGGGCCAGAGGGCCATAAGCTAACCAAAATGAATCAATCACCTGGATAATCAAACCAAAACAAACCAATCACAGAATGAAGAAATCCAGAATATAAAAATCCTTGTGGTGAAGAAGATAAGCTTGCCTATATGCAATGAAGAATACGAAAGAAACCCTTGAGTATGTTTTTCAAATACGATTCCAATAACCCTTAATTTCGTTATTTGATTACTATAGAAGTGAATCAGAGATGGAGAATCCCGAGATTGAGAAGAGAATCCTATAAGAACACCCGACAAAAGAAAACGATATCGGTGAACAACAAAAACTGGAATGAGAAAACGATATCGTTTTAGTTTATTTAGACAAATAAAAAAAAAATTAACGGGTATCTATTTGTTCTATTGGCTTGCTCATTAACTAAAAGAATGTTAACTGTCGAACCTTGTACGGGTCCATTTTGTGTAACATATTAATAAACGCATTACATGCTCAAATTTTTACATCAAACCCCGTGAGGCCCGCGAGCAGCAGACCCATTTTAGCATTCCTACTGGGAACCATGATTTTCGGAATCAAAAGTATTTATCCACTCGCATGGAAAGCAATGGATTCTAGATGAAAGCAACAAGCAGCCAGAGGTGAAGATGAAAATGATGTATCTAAATCAGAGGAACTCTGAACAGATGATGAAACAAAAATGGTAAACACAAAGTAAGAGTTCTCACGGCTATTCATTGTAGTATGTCATGAAATAAAATTGAATTGATTTAGGATGTGAAGCAGGGAAAAATGAATGAGACATTCTCCAGAGATACTTTGAAGGAATGAAAAAGTCTGGAGTTCTAAAAGAGACATGCTAGACACTTGTTTTGAAGATCTGAAAATGGATGAGCATGAATCTATTGTGGACTTCCGCTCCAAGCTTAGTTCACTAGCACAAAAAAAATCTCACTCTTGGAAAAAAAAAAGAAAAGAGACTAGTAAAAAAATTATTGAGATATCTACATTCTAAATTCATGTCTGATATGAAAGGATTTACATGTAGGATTTTAGTGTAAGTATTTTTTGTGTGTTTTCAGATTTAAAGTTTTTGATAAGTTTTCTACTTTATGTTGTTGTGTTAGCTTAAACATGTAGTGAACTAGTGAATCATGAGCTAATACTGAAAGTTATGGTACTTGAAAGATACGTAGACCTCCTATATGTATGTGTTGTATCTAAGTTTTTAGACAACTAATAAATATTTTTTAACTAACTATTATCAGTCTTTATGCATATTTAACTAAGTATGATTTTCATGCATCTATATAAAGTGACATAATTCTTCACCAATTTAAGAAGTTATCAAGCATTTCTACTTGTGTTTGCTAGAAGTAAACAATTCTACATAACATAGTTTTTTTTTATTATTATTGTAGATTATCAATCTAAATTGTTTATTTTCTCTGTATCTAAATTATAATTGGGGCTGAAAGCAAAGAAAATTTACTACGAGGACCTGAAGAATGGATAGGTCTTACTACAATATTGATTACAAAACCTACAATGGATATCTTAATTGTGTTCAAAAAAAAAAAAAAAGGATATCTTAATATATTAGGTATAAATCTCATCAAAAGTTGGAAAATTTCGAACTAGCATAAAAGTGATCAGTCAAATCATCAACTATTTATTGCTTTTATTTTAGATGCTCATCTAATTAAATATGCTACAAGATCTACGCCATTCAACACAATTTATATTCATTACAATTCAAAAATTTGTCCAAGGATTGCCCAAATATTTCGAGATTATAAATGGACAAAGAACCATTATTTCGAAGTAAAGTCTTAAGGACAAATCTCACTTCAGGAGTTAGTGCTTGAAGTGTTGGTCCTCACACGATGCATAGATCTCGAAGTGGTTTAGATGTTAATTTTAAGTTATGTTTAACATTGTATGTACTATCAGTTAACACTTAGCAAAGCATGGTCAGTTTGAATTGTTTTTCACCCATCTAGGAGAGAGACACTTGTTCTTTCACAAGTTGAGGAACTTGGTAAGCGTCTGTTTTCTTTTTAAGTCTAGAATATGAATCTAAAGTGTGTTTGTGTTTTCATTTTTTCTAGGTTATAATTGGGTTTGAAAATGGAGGACACCTAGAAGAAGGTTTTTGAAGGAATAATAAGTCATGATCTCTCAGTTGCGAGGTCTACTATTAACATCTCGACATATTTTGAATTGTAATTCCTCTCTCCCTAATTCTTTCAAAACATTTGTTCAATTATTTTCTTATACACTACTAGTGATTCTTGGTTTGTTTTAGACAATGAGCCGCATATGGTGTTTGTTCAAGCATGCCTTGATCGGTTCATCTTGGATTCATACGATCCAAGAAATGAACAGGAGGTTGTGCGGAATGAAGAGTATGATGAGTGGGAATATCCAATAGAGAAAGTCTCTACTGAAGAGTTGAATCTTGAAGATTATGGCATTTTGCATGCAGGTGTTCCTCGTAAGAGAATGGGTTTGATATATTGGTGAGAAAGAAGAAGAAA